TTAAACACAGAAGATTATGGTTAGACAATTTTAATATCGAAAAAAGATTTGCACAAGAGGCTAGCAACAATCTGGTGCAAGAAATGACTTTTGAAGATGTCGAAAAATTTTTTAATTATTTTCGTATGACACCTGAAACATTTGAAAAATTGTTGCATATTGTTTCACCGCATATACAGAAACAATTTGTTATTCGTGAGCCAATTTCTGCTCGCACTCGCCTTCAAATCTGCTTACGATATTTATCTTCAGGAGATAGCATAGTATCCATATCATATGCATTTCGTGTAGGACACAATACAGTGTCAAAGATTGTATCAGAGACATGCGATGTAATATGGGATACTTTAAAAGATATGGTATTCCTAAAAGCAACTGAAGATAACTGGCGAAGAATAGCCGATGAATTTGAAGAAAAGTGTAATTTTCCCAATTGCATTGGCGCAATTGATGGGAAACACATAATATTACAAGTAAATTTTTAATAGTTTGATAATTTTCTTCTGTGAGAAATTAGACGCGCGCGCGCGCGCGCGCGAAATTATAAGTACTATTATTAATTATATATAGAGTGTCCGGTAACTCAAAGACCAACGATCGTGAGAGGATAGAGCGCAATAAACTGAACAGAAAAGTTCTGTATTATTTTGCAATTTTCGTAATAATTATTTAAATATTAATTAAAAAAGATTGACGAATAAGTACGCGTTTCGCGCGATTAGACCGTAGCATGTAGCTAAATGTCGCACAACGAAAAGTTTGGCCGCGCGACGAGAGACGCGGTTATGCGATGTAGCCGCGCGAACCGCGTACTTATTTGCTAATCTTTTTTAATTAATATTTAAATAATAATTATTGCGAGAATTATTGCAAAATAATAAAGAATTTTTCTGCTCAGTTGTACTCTATTTTCTCACGAGCGTTGGTCCGTGAGTTACCGGACTCCCTGTATATATTTAAGAATATTAAATTAATTTTCTCGACTTTTTCATGTTGCTATATATAAACATATATATATTTAGGCATCTCCGAATAGTGGTTCGATGTATTACAATTACAAAGGCACTCATAGCTTGGTGTTAATGGTTATTGTTGATGCTAATTATCGGATCTCATTACTGGACATTGGTGCGCCAGGAAGACGTAGCGATAGTGGAGTATTTTATGCTAGCGAGATTGGCAAACGATTACAAAACGGAACGCTGTCAATTCCTCTACCGAAACCTGTGGAACATGGTGGCCAGGTTTTACCATTTATTTTAGTCGGTGATGAAGCATTTCCGTTAACGCAGTACATGCTGAGGCCATATCCTAGAAGTGGCAGACTTAACAGACGCAAAAATGTATTTAACTATTGTTTAAGTCGAGCTTGCAAAATTGTGGAAAATGTTTTTGGGATACTCTCTGCAAGAATGCGAATATTTCGCAAACCGATAATTGCCAGCATACCTACTGCCACTAGAATAATCAAAGCGACTACGTGTTTACATAATTTCATAATATCACAAGAACTGAAGCAACCACATACGCAAAGAAGATATATGACATTAAATGCACATGAACGAGAATTGCGTGACATAGGTATGGAAGATGTAGGAACGTTCGACAGAAGCATACGAAAAATAGTGCTAAAATAAGAGATAATTTTGCAACATTTTTGAAACTACTGGTGCGGTTTCATGGCAATGGGAGAAAGTTTTGCAGAATAATTTTTAAAAAACTAAGAAATACATAAAAAATGTTTTTTTTTATTCTTTGTTTCACATTAAAAAAAAGTATATGCTATATGTAGACTATACATTTCATGAAAAAGTAAAATAAATATTTCAAATAGAATAATAACATTTATATTACTTATTAGAATTTATCAAGTACACTTTGATGTATTTGTCGGCATTTTTTGTAATCGTAGTTTAAAATATGTAATTTTTATTAACATTTTGTATCTATCTCATTGTCAGTGTAAAAAAAAGTTAAGTACATTATGGATATTATTTCCGCGAGGCTCAGGCCGCCTGCTGGTACCGCTCTTACCGCGAAGTCGAAGTGGTAGCCTTACAAAATCGTCGGTACGCCCGCTGTGGTCCTTGAGGTTCCATTCAGGTTGCCGACTCGCCGAACAGTGACGACAGTGAGGCTCGCCAAACAGCGATGACAGTCCGCGCATCGTCTTGCGCATGTCGATCCTCGCTATCGATTAGCGATCCTTAATCCTTTGATGCCAACTCGTTAATCTCGATCCTCGCTTTGCTCCTCGATATATCGGCCCTCTGTGGCGAGGTAACCCTGGTCTTTCTTATGGCAGCTACCGCTAACGTCCTTCGCGGCCTTTTCCGTTTCCGGATCCGAACCTTATTCTGAATCGGCCGGGAACTGGCCAGGTTCCGACCTGATTCTCCTCTCCTGGCTCGTTACGGTAGCTCCTTTTTCGAGTACTCCACCCCGGATCTCCGGCGTATGAGAGCGCGCTTTCCTCTTGGGCGTCATTCCTCTTGGTGCATCCACCGGCCTTTAGGTTCCTTATCTGAAACGGTATTCTCGGTAGCGACTTCAATAGAGATCTAATCGAATAAGATGTAACATTCTTACGTGACCTGGTTTTGGATCTGTCCACGCAATGTCCGGGCCTCCGTCGTCCCGTCCGCAGAGTCCCCCGAGGATTCCACGAAGGCTGCTCCACCTCAGTTAGAAAACAAGAGTTTATGGCCACTCACTACGATTCGCGCAATTTTTTATAAAGTTTAAAGAATTAAGAGAGAGAGGTCGTCGTCCCCCCGCGGTGGGGTTACCGACCTCAAATTTCCCTCCTTGACCGGGTTTATTTGCCCTTGTGACGGCCAGTGCAAATGTCACGTCACAACCTTCATCCAGAAGCGTCAAGATTCGTGATACGTCGGTATCCGTTAGATAACGCCGTGGCATTTTCGCGAAAACAATACAGTCGAGAAGTGAGTTAAAAATTCGTAATGAAAAGCCGTAAGCTTTTGCCCAATTTAAGGAAATTTTTTTCATTTCCGGATTGGTTTGTTCAAGAGGATTCAAGAGGTTGTAGAGGATAACTTAGTTAAAAATGATAATACGGGAGTTTTCTTCGAAGATTTGGAAACTAGAAGATTCAAGCTTCAAAACGCTTTTTTCAAATATTTTTTTTGTCCATTTTTCGCGGAGATACAGCCGCTCAAAAAACACCCAAAAATCGACCCAAAATTTTCTATCCCTTAATTTTGATGCGAAGTGTATATCTTTCTCATAAAGAAAAAATTAAAGACAAATGAGCCAAGTTATTATTACATATATTAGAGCTTTTTTTGAGTGATAAACAGAAACGTCTCTGTCTATATTTTTCTCTGTATAAATAGTAAAATAAATTAAACTTACATTATTATAAAAAATAAAATTATGGCGTTTGCATCCTTTATCTGCAACGGAAAATAATTTGACAAGTTTTGATAAAAAGTTAAGTAGTATAGCTATACGGGTTCAAACCCATAGGGCAATGAGGGGGGTGCGGGGAAAGAAGGGAAGAGGGGGTATCGAATTACGCTGTGTCAGCACTTTTGGAGGGGAGGGAGGTATTGGATTATGCTGCGTCAGCACTTTTGGTGGGTAGGGGGGTATCAGATTACGCTGCGTCAGCACTTTTGGAGGAAAGGGGGGTATTAGATTACGCTGCGTCAGCACTTTGGTGGGAAGGGGGATATTGGATTACAGCACTTTGGAGGGGGAGGTATCGGATTACAACACTTTGGAGTGGAGGAGTATCAGGTTACACACGTTCGCAGTTGTAAAAGCGCAGCGTCGACACTTTTGCGATGTATCAGGTTACATAAAGGGATGGGATATCAGATTACAAGAGATTGAAGGGGACCACATATTTTACGGATTACGTCATCACTTTCCTTAGAAAGACGCCATTTTGCGCCGTCAGCACTTTTGGCATCATTTTGCGTTATTACAAGAATGATATCATCACTATTTTTAGTAGCAGTTGCGTCAGCATTTTTG